CAGCTCTTAACACACGCAGCCTCTTGACCGATGCATCTGACTCAGATGGGCAGTTATTACCACTGACCTTCTGTAAGAACTGTCGTTGCTCTCCAGCCACTCACCGTGTCTTGGTGAACGCAGAATTCATTGAAATTTTGTTTAAATCCAGTGTGGTGGCACCTGAGAGACCCATCACAGCCCCTTAGATTGAGCCGTTATACAAAAAGGTTTGGGGAGTCTGAGAAAGAAAACATTTCAGGGGTCTGTTACCACAATAGATTCGTGTTTGTGACATTTCAGTGTCTTTATTCCCCAGGAAAGGGAGCTTTGCTCTAATGTGAGGTCTTTTTAAATTGCAGGTCTGTTAGACCTCGTTTAACAATCTACGTCTGTCAGGAGCCATCAAGGAGCCTTCAACTGGAAAGCCAAGACGCGGGCAACGGTGACAGCAGCAACGGTGCAATATATGGTAGGGCCTCTTGGGGCTTCCTAGGGTGCTGACACATGTGAAACATGCTTGACACGAGTGAAACAATGGAAAAACAGTTCTTGTTTTTTCAAGAACTGGAATTGGGTTTGTGGCGTACAGAGGATCTGTAGGGAATTTTGTGTATATATATACACACACATTTATATATGTAAATGCCTGAACAAGAGTTGAGATGGTGATGATGATAATAGTTTTAACATTGCAAATGATGAACAGAAGGTGAAAACCTCTCAAGACTAGATTACAGATTTTCAGTCCATTGATGAAGTTAACTGTATTTATGTGGAGAACTGATTCAGGAGCTCTCAGATGAGCTGTGCTCTGTTGTACAGCCAAGATGTTCACCGTATGAGCAGAGATGAACATAAAAGCCCTAACTGCAAATTAAAGACTTGTGTTCTTAGCCATTTTCACCTAGGTTTTGTTGTCCTTGTCTGTGCAACTGAAGAAGTAAAAATGGCAAGGGTTGGACCAGGGAAAACAGCCAAGTTGTGCTGGCTCATGATCTTAATGGCCTTTTTGTAGGAGGCAGCTGTTGTTTTAACACAGATAGAAACTTAATATTTAATTCACATCAGTCTTTTAATTTAGAGAGTGAAACAACTGTAAATTATTGTTCTCTCGCCCTCGGCTTCGAGGGAAGGAGCTTTCCCACCCCAACTCCCCACCAAGAAATCCATAAAATCTGTATAGGCTGATGCTGTGCTACTACTCATGTATGAGACAGGATGCTGTCCGTCCAGCTATGTAGGTTTTTCCTTTGGATTTCTTCAATTTGTTGTTCAGGACAGAACAACATCCAAGAGTGGAATTGCTGTAAAAGTAATTTTTACTTATTTAAACCTATAAAGCTGTCAATGCAGCATCAAATTATGAATAGCTGCTCCATGTTACTGTTCTGTTGGTTTCCTGTGCTGTATTTCCCTTCACTGCAGCTTTGAGGACATGATTCATAGTTGGAAAGGACTTTCATTATTCAAAAAAAAAAAAAAAAACTGCAACAGCACAGCATTGCTGGTAAAATAAATACATCTAAAAGTCCTGTTTCTTTTGAGACACTACAAACCAATTCCAAAGTCATCCTTAGATGACTCTTTAAAGTTGTGTCTAGTTCTGTCGCAGAGATGACCAAGTCTTCTTGTGCAGGATACTGGAAAAAATGGCACCTGGGAGTTGCCTTCAGTCTGGGAGCAGACAGAAGCCGTCCCCGTACAGAGCGCTGTGCTTAGCACACACAACCTTAAAAGAAAAGTCAGGATAGTTTATACTTATTATTGAGTCAGAGCAAAGGTTTTTCAGCTTTTAGTATTGAAGTTTAATATTGAAGGCAAGGGATATAAACAAAAACACGTATTTTCCCCATAGTTATTTGTTTTAAATTAGTACAATCCTTTATTTATTTTATTTTTTTCTTTTTTTTGTAGTATATCATGCGATCTACTTGGAAGAAATGGCAGCCTCGGAAGTCACGCGCAAGCTTGCTCTGGCGTTTAATATTCCTCTGCATCAGATTAACCAGGTTTACAGACAGGGTCCCACTGGTATCCACATTCTTGTTAGCGACCAGGTAACGGGACCAGGTTACTTCGTGACAAAAAATATTTGTATTAATGAAATGGGTTTTGTCATTCTACTTCTCTCGTTACTGTTCTTTCTGCTTGATAATGCAACCTGGTGCCTTCTGATGTTTAGACTGTTTTTGCCTTTGCATTAAAATTAGCAGAAGCAGCCTTTAAAATAACACTTAAATTTCTTCCTCATATTGAGTAATTTCAAACTGTAAGAAGCAAAAGACCCCTGGCCTTCCTTCCTGAACAGTGATTAGTTGGTACATATGGAACGTGCCAAAGGCAGGAAGTACCTAAATAATGTTTATATGTGGTTGTACGGGCATCCCTCAAACAGCTGCTACTCAGTTTGGGAGTTCCCGGAACAGGTGCCCCATCGCTATGAGCAAATCCCTGAACCCTTGCTGAGTAAGGCCAAAACAGGCACTTACTTATCGAAGGCTGTGTTCAGTATCCGATTTATTTCTAAAAGGGTCGTGCTCAGGAGGGTTCCCACTGTTCTGTTTTTTTCTGCAGATGGTTCAGAACTTTCAAGATGAGAGTTGTTTCCTGTTCACCACAATAAAAGGTAGGCTGCCTGCTGCCAGCGTTCAAACCGTTTCTTCCCTCCGCCTGCGTGCGGAGCAGCGCGATCCTCGCAGAGCCGCCGCCGGCAGCGCCCGCCGCAGCCAGGCGCCCCTCACGGTACCTGGGATGGTCAGAGGACAAACCCTCCCGGGCTGTCGCGGGCTGGATGCATTTAACTGCCCACCGGCCGTAACGTGGGGTTCACCTGAACTTCAGCCGTAACGACTGGTGCTCCGGCTTGCTCAGGGCGTGGAGTGAATCTCCCTTTCCTTACTGGTGGTTGAGCTGGACACCATTTTTTGGAGAAATCCCAATTATTCCTGAGACAAAAGTAGGCGGGAGTTGCCATAACTACAGGTCAAGTTTGACTCTTGGCCTATTTCAGTTAAAGAAACTGTCCCGACTGTGAGGAGTCAATTATACATTGTTCATCCTAACAACACATTTGTTTAAAGTCTACTTGAATGTCCTGATGTGAACCAGCAGATAATTATTTACCTGTTTGTCTTGCTTGTTAACCCTTTTGGTAGTGCTTAGCTTAAGTGTAATATCCACAGGATATTTTATTTATTTACTATTTCATGGTCTCTGTAGTAAAGAACAAGTAAGTTCATTCTGGCATTTTGGTGAATCAGCTAGTACCATTCTGCTTAGGAAAGACTGACTTTGCTTTTTCTTTTTTAGCTGAAAACGAAGGTTTCCATATAATTTTGAAATGATGTCACACGTGCTAGACTGGTATTTCAGTGCAGAATGAAGTCCTGCCTAAAGACTATGAAGATCATCCAGAAACTGAGGATCTAACTTCACCGTATAAGATGTTTCATATTGAAAACACAAGATGACCTTTCTAACGCGCTGTTGATAGTTGAGCTTTGTAACCACTGCCATGGCCGAGCGCGGGCTCCGTGCTGGGAGGTGATGCCGAGAGGGCTGCGCCGGGAGAGGCGAACGTGGCCAGTAGATACCGGGTGTGGGGGCCGAGCGCTGCTGCCCTCTGCTCTCTGTGTCCGGTTGGAGATGAATGTAAACTTCCCGGGGGCATTTACCTTTCCGTGCTGGTTTGTCTATTACTTGCTTGTACCTTACGCTGATTTTATTTTTCGACGTTAGCGGAGCACATATTAATTTGTGTGGAGATGAGTAGTTAAGCTGATCGTGATCAGGTTGTCAGGTCTCCGAGAGCAAAGCTGTTAAAACAGCTTCCCGTGTAAATTGTGTATAAGAGTGTATGTAAGAAATGTAAATGCCAGAATAGGGCTTTTAAGAAGTCCTAGACAGATGCAATATATGCATGCAGCAAACTGCATTATCAATAGTACCTTGTTGGAAGGATTAATATAAATCCTATGGGGTACCAAGTAATTGTGTTTTGCTTTAACAAATTTAATGGAAAAGAATTGCCTATGCATCCTTTATTTTTGGTTTCCTAGATTTCCTGCAGAGCACTCCTGCAGTTTAACTTTTTGCTTGTAAAATTGTGGGTTTAAAAATACTAGCAGTGAGACGTGGGGTTTCTGACTTAATGAATACTGCCAAGGAGGGGAGTTGACCCCCTGGCACCCAGGGGCCACCGCGGCTTTCAGCAGCACCAAGGGAGTTGCTAAGGCAGCACCGAGCTGGCACCACGCAGCCTCCCGGCGAGCAGGCACGGCCTGGCTGCGGCCGGCACCGTGGACAAGGATTTTACCTTTTCTGTTGACGTTTCTCTGCCCCCCGATGCCCGGTCCGCACTGTAACCCCGCTACGGAGCAGGTATTTCCTTTCCCGGGAAGCTGGCGCTGGGTGTCGGGGTGAGGACGCGGCCCAGCGTGTCCTGCGCCTCCCGGGGCGCGCGCACGGGAGGGGTTGACAAGGTGTCAAGGGCAGGTGCTGCCCGCCCCGTTGTGCCTTCGCACGCTCCCACCTTGGTCTCGGGCTTCAAAGCTGGGGAGCAGTTGGCTTTTTATGCTGCACTGGCATTCTAGGCAACTACTGCAGCAGGTAGAAAGAAAAAAAAGGAAAAAAAAACCCTTCGATTTTTTAATTCCCTCTTACGTAACTGGCTCAAGTGCTTAGCAAAAAAGCTTAAAGCTGTGGCATTTTGAAAATCTCAATTCCTGAAAGCTAGTTTCTTTCCTCTTTCACTTTTTCTGCACTGAAAGTAAAATTTTATGTACTTAATTTTATGTACTTAAACATTTCTGCCTATAAATTGTTCATCCTTGGGTATTTTTGGTCCTAGTATTTTATTGAACTGACAATTGTGTCTTTTCAGCTCAGCGCCATATTCAAATCCAGATGTTTTATAAAAGTGGAAAAATCCTTGATCGGAAAGTATCCAAATATCTAATTTTAAAGAATATTGAAAGTTGTACAGTAGTTTGTCCAGCTCACTTGAAATTGGAATTAAATTATGGCACCAGCAAATTGCTTTTTTTTTTAATAAGATGTACACATTTCAATTCAAGTATAATAAATGTTTTTCAATAATTTTGTAAATGTGCTTTTTTCTTTTATTTTCCATACTTGTACTACATATTAGAGATACATCTGCTGTTAAGATTTAGAAACGACAAGACTTGTTTGAACAATTCATTTTTAAAAAAGGTAAATAATTGAAACAAACCATCTTTGTCCTGCACCCAACACAAAGATCTGCTGCTTCTAATAGAAAACTAGAAGAAAAGCTTCACACGGGAAATAATTGAAACAAATCCAAATTTGACATCAGCTGATTGTTTATTTAAGTGTCCTATATCAGAGCAGGTTCCATTTGCTTTTGTACATCTCTAACGCCATAAACTTACAAGGTTCATTACGTCCTCAGAAGAAAATGAGCCAACAAGAGGCAAGACATTTTGCTGTGCTCATGCCAGTGCCTTTCCGGGCACAGCTGAGAGTAAAACCTGCTTCCCCCGTGACAGCACCTGCCTGGAAGCCACCTCGCTGCGGCTGCACCACAAATTGCTGCCCCGGCTGCCTTCGTTCCGCAGCTGCTCTCGCATCATCTTCGCGCTACCGGCTGTGACTGCAGAACGCAGCACAGCACTTGTCCTGCCACAAAATTCTCTTAACGGTCACACTCACTTGTTTAGAAACACTTTTAAGTGTTGGGGAAACTTTTCTATTACCCAGTGGTTTCACCAACTGCTTCTCAGTGAAGCCGGTATTTCTGTTAGGTTGGACCAGAGACGCAGGCCCTGAACTCTTTGAAAACGCGCACACACACACACACACACATGATCAGTCTTGCACAGAAAAGCTTTCTGAACTGCCGAGTAGTTTATCGTAGATAATTAGGTGGCTTAATAGAGAAAAGTTTATCTAACCCTCTAGCACTGGAAAACTAAGGATGAAAGCATGGCCTTAAGAGTTAATACTTGGATTTTTATTATTAGAAACAAGTTGGCAGATTCTTAAATAACCAAATGTGAAGAGTCTGGCTTTTTTTCTTTTTTTTTTCCCCTCCAGATTTTTAAAACCGGCTTGGTTTGGTTCAGCTCCTGCCTCCAGGTTTATTTGTCTCTGTGCTTGCTAAGGTCCCTAAAGGGCAGCACAGGGAGCTGGGATTGAGTTCCCTGCTGGACAGCAGGGTGTGTAGGAAAGCCGGATCCCGGGTTGCTCTTCCCCGTTTCCCTATGGCCGAGGAGGTGGCGGGAAGGGCGCAGAGCTCCCGGCTCCAGCGCCCGCAGCCCAGGCGGGCGGCCCCAGGGCGCAGAAGGTGCTTGGGTGGGCGGCAGAGCCTTACAGGAACACGTGGTTCTGCCAGAGCTACTTGCCAGATTGCAAAAATCTGGAAAAAGGATTTCTATTTATAGTGTTGTCTGGAGGTACTAGTTTACCTTTTGACATTGCCTCTTGTGGCCCATTATAATGAAACATGAAGCTGAACCGTGAACGAGTACACTGTTTTGCTATAAGAGCTCATGATTACCTTGCATTTTTGGTCAACATCTAAAGCTGATTTGTCCTTAAACCTGAAACTGCCTCTGTCTTGCGTGTTCCAGAAGTGCAGTTCCTCTTTTGGGGGGACTGGCTGGAGCTCCACAGTGCGCTGAAGTGCCCCCCGGCGCGCGCTTGAGAACGCAGAGCAGCTCCCAGGTCAAGGGAAGTCCCACTGCGTGGCTGCTGCGCTGAAACGGCCCCGCGTTCGACCAAGTACTCAGTTCTCATGCCAACAGAGGGATGGAGGTACCAATACAAACCAGTATCACCAACTTACGTAATCCACAGCTGCGTATTATGGTAGGATTTTCACCTGGAAAAATGCTTTCTTGTCACAAAACCGGATGACCAAAAATCACCATTACAACTGTCAGGAAACTGACTCCTCCCAGCCACCGTCAGTCCAACTCTTTTCTTCAACAAAAAAGAACTCAGATTTTCTCTGGGATGCACTTACTGTCAAAGAATAATGCAGCATCTGCAGAGGCGCTGTCCGCCCCCTCCCACCGAAGGAGGGGGAGTCACTGGAGCAAAGTAAGCATGAACTTTCACATGAGGTAGATGAGCCTGGGGAGGAAAACTCTGGTTTAATGGGAAAGGGAAATAAGACATGCCACATGAATTACTATTCATGAGGAACAGCACGCCACGACCACTGCCAACAAGGCAGCTCCTGCGAAGGCTGGTAAGCCAACAAAGCATCTACCTAGCTGGTTGATAGTACTTGGGCTGTCCTGTCCTGCCGTGTAACACTAGTGTCCTGGCCAGCTGAGCCACTCCAGTGCTGGGCACTCTCACCTGCCGGGGGTCCCCCTTATTTCCCAATATGGCCCCGCTCAGCCAAAGCGGGAGCTCTCCGTCACAACAGCTCCGTGCTCTGCTCCAGAGGAGAGCGGGATTCCTGGCTACCACAGAAAGACTTGGCTGTGCCCGTGCTCCCATGTTCCCTGGCGCTCTCATGAGCTTCCCGGGGCAGCAGGGTGTGTGTGTGTGCGTGAGCCTGCGCAGCCGGAGGCTGGACGCTCCTCCTGAGGGGAGCTAAGGCGCTCCCTGCTCGACGGGCAAGTTCTTGGAGGAAAAGACTTGAGTCTGTTTCCAGGTTCCTGCCCTGCACCCTATTAACTGAAGTTTTCATATGCTTTACTATCAGCTCTGTATATTAATAATGCATCCTTGGGGAGAGTTAAAGAGTGTCACTGCACAACCTTAAAAGTCTGAAAACCCATATTTAAAAATATGTATGTGAAAAGCTCTGATCATCCAACAGCACAACTGCCTTGAAGCACAGACAGACAATTACTACTGCTCATATAGAAAGGCTGTGATTGATTAGTCCCTAGAGATGGGAACTTGATGCTACTCTTGTTCTTTCCTGCCTTGCCTGGGATGGCTGCAGGTTCCCGCGCGCTCAGGCCATTCCCTGGATCAAGCGCCCCCCACGTACTCGGATTCTTTTGATCCCGGCTCGCGTGACCTGCTGGCAGTCGTACAGCTCAATTCTCTCCAGGTTGTGGCAGTTCTCCAGGTGCTCCAGCGTCACGTCAGTGATGAGAAGACAGTTATCAAGCTCTAGTACTTGCAGCCTCTCATGCCCACAGGTACTGTTGCTCAGATGAAGAATCCCATCATCGGTGATCAATTCACAGTGAGACAAGCTCTAAAACAGGGAAAAAGAAGAGAGCACTTTTATCCCAAATCAGTCCCTCCAGGCTGTATCCTCAGAGTGGTTAATCCAGTTCAAAGAACACAGTGCTGAAATCCAGGCGAGACAGCGGCATGAAGAATTAGCCAGAGTGGCTGCAGCTGATGTGCAGCTTCGCTTCAGAATCTGAAGTTGGTTAGTTGTAAAATTGCGTCGCTGGCAAACTCCTGAGAGCCCTCTGCTTTAGAGGGCCGTGGAAAAATCCTTTGCCAGCTGCCACACACCTCAGCCACTGTGCGGGCCAAACAGCTTCTAC